GCATACCACTTGATTCCTATCACCCCATGGTGCGTGCACGCCCGACAGTTCACTTGTCATTGAGACCATGGCAAATTAACAAGAAGCATGGCAATCCACTAGCTTCGAAAAACTACCATAGCTCGGCAGTATCGATCTCCACATTAAACCAATACTATGTTGGTGATGAGCATGTGGATGTATCATCGTCATCATCATTGACAGCGTGAATGTAGATGAAACCTGTGGAGTATGTGAAAGGAGCTATGTTAGCGGCGTTCAATGCTGTCTGTCCGACTTCTCCAGTTCGACCACAAGGCCACTGGATGTCGTCGAGATCGATATCCATGATTGATGCCAGGAAAGCCTTCCCAGCGGGCAATGAATACGACGGCTCACGTAAATCCCTCAAATGCCAAATAGTGAAGAGTCTAAGGAAAGACCGAGAGCTATGGCGGACGTGGAAAGCTCGGGAGATGCAAACGCCTTTTGCTAAGGGAAATAGCCATGTCCTATATTAATTGATACGATCGACTGGCCCATAGGACAGTAACGGTCAACTAAACCCTAAGTGAAAGGGATGGCTCAATAATTCACTTGCAAAACTGTCGACTGGAAAGATGGACCGAATACTTTGAAGAACAGTTCAGCTGGCCACCTGCAACACAACCTGTTTCGAAAATGGATGCAGGCAAACGGAATGTAAACCTTGATCGCCCGCCAGAAGAATAAATAAAGTACGAAATATCCGTACTGAAACTTGAGATGGCACCAGGACCGGACGTTCTGTATCCATCCCTCTTCAAAGGAGGCGGATAATCCCTTGTGGCCGGTGTGACAAATCTGGTTGGTGCTATATGGGACGAAGAGAAGGTGCCTGCTGAATGGGGCATGTCGACAGTTATTCCTATCGTCAAAAAGGGTACGCGGACGCTGTGTAGAAACCACCGTGGCATCAGCCTGTTATCTGTAGCATCGAAGGTGTGCTCCGTGTTGCTCTATCGATAAGAAACCTGGCCGCTGTGTGCCGAGGACGTCAAAAGACCCAGTGTTTGACCATTGATGTTTTCGGAGCATTGCCCGAATCTGGTGGGAACACCGGATTAGCAATTCTGAAGTACGTCGAATGGTATTCGGGAGAAACAACTCACCCTCGCCAGTATCAAGTTGCAACCGAACTGGGATGTCGTTGATATGAACCGTGACGAACTTCCTTCGGCAAGCAAAATCAACTTTGAATGTTGCCGTCACCGAGTTGGACCGCGATTTGTGGGCTGCACGGTGGTGTGCGGGTGGCTGCAATCTTTGAGATCGACACAAATCTTCTTTGTGGCCGCGACGACTGCACCTGGAACATTTGTGACGCCTTAACCGGCAATAACGAGCAAAATGCCACTCACCGCAATGCCAGCAACTCGTGGGAGGTTTACCCTGTCTTCGATCGGGCTTCTTGTCGGATTTCCTGGGCACGCTGTAGTTGATTGCCTGTACACAGCTGCTTGAGGTCACAGGTGACTGACCGATCATAGCCGTGTCGTGCTTCAGGTTGATGAGGTGTTGGCATTCAGTGGTGAGGCTCTGCAACGTCATTTCGGCATCCTGTTCAATTCTGTTAAGAAGCCGGGTTCTGATGTCAGCATCATGGGATGACTGGAGACCGGATACAAAAATGAGGCACTTAAACTGATTCTCCGTCATTGAGCTGAGCTTGAAGCGCTCGCATTCTCGATTGACAACACCGGCAAACGTGATGAAATCATCATCATCTTTCCCAACTAGAGCGCATTCGACTGTTAGACGGTAACTTATAATGACGGGGACCTGCCCATCTGATCCACTGTTGTCCTTTGACCGTGTGAAGTCTCCGTGACCGATCAGAAAGCTAGCCACGTGGAATCCGTTGTCCCTTGTTGGAACTGTTTCATTGATATCTGCGCAAATGCATTGTCGCTGACTCCAGCCGTTTGAATGCGTCCTAGAAGATTCGTCCATGAAACTCCCAAAGGACTTCCAATATTAAACTCTATTTGGTGATATAGGACCGGTGGATAAATGAAGACCCATCTAAATCCTGTCAAGTTTGATTTCGATAAACCCGATGGTGATTTATAATAATGGTGTTACGATTATATCGGTGTGAATGCTTAGTTCGTTACTGATGATCAAGCCTGAGCCACCATGGTTCGATAGGCCAGCAGCGCTGACTCACTGATACAATTTTAAAAATACTAATATTTGATGTACACGGCAAGTAACCCAGCTACAACTGTTTGGAATGCTGCATAGAAGTGATGTATGTTTTGTCTAACCAAATTTCCACCATTTCCGCGTCGCCAGCTGGACGTGCTTGTAAGAACACTATTTACCACATGATGTTTGCTTAGTATTTTTTGGTTTCATTCCAGGTTATTTCGCCTATATGTCTAAGGTTTGGAAAGCCTTTCGAACGCATCCCAAAAAGTCTTTCGCCGCCATTGCATTTACAGCTTACGGGTGTTCTTGTTTATTAGATCGATACAAGTATGTAATTGAATACCACACTTGATTTGATTGCCTTTCACTCTAGTGAGGATATTCTGCGACGAAGATTATGTGACTCTGTCAAGGTACTGTTTAAAGACTAATTTTAATCGAATTCGTTAGCCTCTAGGTTACGCCACCATTCCTGCAGATCATCGCCTTCGGCGACTAACTGTGTTCCTCAACCCCTTTGCACGTCGAGGGTAGGATACTTTGTTTCTTCCCTACTATTCGTAGCAAGCTCTTGAAGGAGTTTGAAAAGAACGTTGCCCCCATCTTACAACTCAGTGGACTCGATATCCATATGGTTTATTCGGATAATGACGCCGAAATAAAAGACTTCGTCTCCGTACTAGATCCAACCGGAACAGATGGGATCCTGATCGCCAGTGATGATCACGTCTTGCAGAAGGTAGATGGCTTTGGTTTAGTGACCTTTCCCGTCAATTTCCAGGCAATTACTGCTCTAATTCAAAGGTCAGACTTTGCGGTAAGTTTTCTGTCACCCGGTTGAATTTACTGTTCAGACGGCTAAGCTGTGCACTCTGCCGGTGGGAGTGGTTCCTGTCGGTGTTTGGAATACGTTCGCTCATTCGTTGACCTCGTCAGAAAGTGCCTTGCAGTAAGTTATTTCGTTTGTTCATCATCACACAATGAAATTGGGCGAAATGTCTTCCTCGGTAGTGTAGCTCCGCGTCAACTTTGAGATGGATTATGCAACACATGGGATGCCTGATTTCATTGCGATTTTTATGTTTAAAAATAATGGAAATGTGTGAAGTGCTAGACAGTCACCGTCAGATGAAAAAAACGGCAGCTGTTGCTAGAGCCGTACATTCACAGTTGTCCTTTGAAACTGGTATACTTTGTTGTATGTGGTCCAAAATGTGTTCTTTTCATAACAAGGAATGGATGTTTTGGAGTTCGTATAAAACAGTCATGTCCAGTTGATGGCTCCACTTCGCCGCTGTCCACGATTGACCCTGTTTGTCATCATGCTGTGGTCGTTCTCACTGGAGTTAGTTTTCGGAAATTTAGCTAGGTAATTCGTAAATTTTATAGTTTGCTACAACATTCATGATTTTGTGGGGCATACCAAATGGACTGAGGTATTACTATATTACCGGGTATTCAGGACAACCACAAGCCATTAGGCGTTTCGGCCGAATTTTACTATCCGACTTTTCACCAGCAGCAATTGCAGTTCAAATCACCACAGGGATACGCCATAGTCCCGCCCATTGAATAGCTACCAGCATACAGGTAAAACATGGTTCCAGCTAGACCACTTATACGGAACTTTTTATTGTTGAATATTACATTCTCCTATTCATCGTGCCGGGTGGACCGCTGTTTCACCCTCTTCACCCTGTTGTGTTTCTGACTTGCTTTGAGTCACGAAGCTTTCTCTGTGTTGTCCCATCTCGGGTGTGGTGATCATCGCCAGGATTTTCGTGCTCTTTCTATGGAGGCTCCTAGGTGCAGCGCCTGTTATCTGGTGAACGGACTTATCATTAACTTGGGTGTAGCGCATATGAACCATCCTCCATCCCGTTCGGGCACCTTGCTCCAGACACCACACTCTATCCCTAAATCACATTCTAAGACTGAAGATCTGGAGTACGATAGTCCACGGTAGTATTCCGGAACACAAGACTGTCTTCTGCCAGCTCCCTCAGTATCACTGATTTCATGACCTGCACTTTATGGGTCTGTGAGTTCAGCTGGAGTTTTGGTGTTTGAGCCAAATGGTCAGTGTGCACCTCAACTGCACACTGTGTATTGCGTTTTTTATAGGATAAATAATCTGTTCCAAATTGCACGTATCTACACTCCAATTTGGTTTTAACGCGAACCTCTCGTTTGTTATTCATTTTTACTTCACTCTCTTTCGAACGATCTTCCTCTATCCTCAACTATTCCGGTGAGCCTACACCGTAGGAGGTTAGCACTGGACTCGACTTCCGCTCGTATTATAGCTCATCAGCAGTTTGTATGCTTAGCCGTACCGGGGTTTGAACTCCAGACATCTGGCATGCGAGGCGAGTGTGTTACCACCACTCCGCCAGAACAAGCTACACATTTAAATTTTCACGTCTTTACAGGCGAATGTGCTCACGCCTAAGCGATATGATTTGTTTGTCCGAGGTCCCAACTGGATGTGTTGTACAAGGGCCGCTGCGTGTTTTAGTCGCTACGATACTCGAGACGTTGCAGTATATTTTCTTGCTGAAAACTACTCATAAGTTTGCTGAAAACTTTTCAACAAAGTTGTGAGTATTTTCTTTCAAGAAAATCTGTGGACTCTGTTTGAAAGAAAATGAAGTACCGAAGAAAAGGAGCCGTTGTAACGATGTTCCGCCCACTACATATCTTTTTCCTCTGATCACGCTTATTCGCTACACAGTTCACCTCTGAACACTCGTTATTCCTAGGCATTCTTTCACGTGGTTCCAGCGTCCGAAGTCCCCTTCGAGTAGCCTTATAAGTTTAACCCCCTTATGTTTTAGGTTTGAATACGACCTACTGATACCAGTGTTAAAGGAACGGAAAAAACGAACTCACGTTCTGGAGATTTCTGCCATCCAGCCTACGGATAACAGTCCAGTAAGTATAACTCAAATTCCAAGTTTTCGTCTTGTTCCTCAACCGACAGTAGCATGCGGTGGAGGGGGGGGGGGGGAGTCGTCATTGATCGTTGATCAGGTAGTTCTTGATCTCTTCACCGAGCTTGTTAATTGACTTACAAGCTTTTCGTCACCGTGGAGACATCATCAATTTGCAGTCGTATAGGTGAACTCACCCGAACTACCAATATTTCAATGCATTATTAAGAGGGTTGTCATCTTTAGATCGTCCCCGATTTCGGCGTGTCGTTACTGTTTCCTAACAAGGACGGCTGTAATGACGCGTCTAGTCATGGTGGGTTCTTGTTAACAGCACAATAACCGGTTTTTTCAGTACTGAGAAAGGGGATGTGTGGGGTCGTACAAGACAGTTTATTGGTATGAAAGCATTCATTTTATCATGATCTTTACGATCGCGTTTTTTACAGGTAACCAACCGATTATTTATCCCAGCAGTAGTTATACACTTAAACCTAAAGTGAGGATGAAGTCAATGGAGAAATTTTATTACACGGTAAGCTACACCGAGCGGGGACGCTATAAAGCGATATGGGTCGAAAAACATGGATGGGGTTAAAAGGAAATCCCGTAGTCTAATTATACTCAAGGAAATTCTACAGGAGGTCCGCAGCAATAAGTCAACATGGGTCAGTCGCTTGAAGGCAGTTGTTCTCACAGAGACGGACGGTGCGGTACAATTGATAAAAACACGGGCAAAATGAACAACTTCGACCATGTTAGTAAAGGTAGAGAAGACGCGGTGATGAGCAAGAGATCAGGTTATCAATCAGCGACGAGTCCCCGGTGAGCTGGATGGCTTTCTGTATTTTATCCAATTGGCCGAAGTGGATAAGGGGAACGCCACCCTAAGTATGTGAACAGTACAGTAACCATGAGAGCAGAAGAAAGTAAGGACAATGTCAGGATAGAAGGACGAAATTGTTTTTATAGACTAGTAGGGCGAACTGCTTCATGTCTTCGGACCAAGAAAGGTTATGGAAGAGAGTGGATGCACTAATGACAAAACCAGTAGTTACTGGGTCTAAGGGGAGCGAATGATCTAAGGTTGGTATTCTTTTTTTTGCTGTTCCCCACTGCGAATGATCAAGGTTGGTATTCTTTTTTTTGCCTGTTCCCACTGCATGACTTGTAATGTCGGAGATGACGCCGACAGAAGGATATGTAGTTCGAATCCACCTCCGGGAATGCGGTTCTCCCCATGTGAGCTCAGTAACATGGCGGTATCTCGGCGCTCGTGCTTCTCCCGGACTGTAGGGCAACTGTATATAGAAAGGGAGCCAGGGTGAGGGGTTGGCTATTTGTTTCTCCGTGTGGACTGACGTTGAGCTCAGATGACCAGGTTAAGATAGCGCCTACCGCTCTTGGCTCAGAATGCCTTTCAAAACAATGTCTTTTTCTTGGTCCTTTTGAACAGCGTGATCAGAACTGCATATCTTCCAGATCGAAGTCTCGTGCTACTTCGACTGTTTCAATACTAGTGAAACAGCACCTCACCCAGCCCAGTAAAATTATGAGGATACTAAACCTTCCTATGAACTGGCCTGTGACGATTAACAAGTAGAGTTTCGAGGAATTTGGATCTATACCGGAGCAAGGGACCTAGTTAAGTTCATGTTCATCTTACGAGGAATGAATAGCCCAAGTGTTACCAATGCAATCAACCATTTTGAATGGGTCCAACCTAACTCCTGCACCTTGTTGGCGTCACCGCAATATTACTCATGAACAGATGTCAATATGAGTTTACGTCCAGGATATCTGCATGAATGTTTCGAATTTGGACCCTTCAGTACGATGTTTAGTTGGCACAGTCGCACAGAAGTGGAGCTCTAGCTTTTCGCACCGTTCAAAAGCATGTCCTTCTAACCGGTTCCTCTTAGAGTAATTTCTGCTGCCGTGGGACTCACCGCATCTGCGTGGGTACATGCGGCGACTTCCTGGTATACTTGGCGTTGGTCTCGGTGTTTACCTTATGTACTGTGATCCTCAGCTTTACGACCTGGTTAGTTCATCATGACGCCTTATCTCCAGTATCTTTAATACAAGAAGGAAAAGAACACAGGCGTGAATGATGTTCTTCATGTTCTGACAGAGCGGATCAACAATAAAATCTACACTCGCGAGGATTGGTATGGTATTTGGAAGCTCGTTCCGACTAGGTTCAATGTAGTTTCCTCTGGGCGGTGGCTCCTGTCAGTATCTTCATACAAAAATCAATTCATCTTGATCCTTAAGAACAAGCTTCATCTTGTTTTAGAGTATCCTGCGCGTAGAAGAAAAAATGAATGGGCCTCAGTTGGCCTATTCAATTGGACGCCTAGTTCTGTCATCTGAGCTCATTCATACAGAGTCGGATACGAAGCTACTTGCTTTCACTGTTCACTTCCTGACCTTAGTTAGGCCATTTTCCTAATAAACCTATAGAGCTTGTCGACTTTCATATTCATCGGTCACCAGTGTCTTGGTTTTGTCCTTCACACTAGATAACACGGATTTCCTTGAGAACACACGTACTATATGAGGATGCTTTATACCACAGTTCTGCCATGGTTCTGAGGCCATTGAGAGATTCCGCGCATAGTTCTCCCCGTTGTACATTGTCCCGGGGGCAATAGTCAAGGCAGTCAAGCTATTAAGCTGTGCATTTATTTCAACAGGCGTCCGTTTTATCCTCTGCAATGGAGCATTGGACATGTCTCATCAGTAGCCAAAGAAATAGACACCAGGACGGAAAATGTTTTGCTTCTGACCAGATCTGAGTCAGGGAGCATTTTATTGCTGGATGCAACTTCTGTTCCTCCTTGGAACACTGATTTTCTGAGGCTGAAGAAGGACTTCGTCCGTATCCACTCTACTAGAATCGCAGGCTACTAATGAATAGTTAACTTCCATCTAGGCATTTGATGGATTTCCGCTGTTTGTGTTGCAAGGCTTGACGTTCTCGTAGGCATTTCCACAACACACTTCTGTCAGTCAATTTACTTAGACCATTGCATAGCGCTCGCATCATTCCAACGAATGGCTTAACTGATTGGGTGAACAAGTTGACCAAAGCTGCTAACGTAGCCCATGCTATGAAGGTATTACAGTGGTGCAACCTGTAGAGCTTCAGTCTCTCGGATTCCACACCTTGAGGTTGTGTAAATATACAACAACGAACTGCTGAGAAAACAGTTTCTACTGAAGGCTTGTGTCAAACTGCTGTGCAGATCTAATGGTGTGTACTACTGATGAATCCTACGAGTAGCCTCGACGTCCCGTCCCTGTCTCTGATGGAAAGTTAGTACGGAGATTACGGAACCGCTTTATAGTGATTGTTCATTGTTGTTTATTATTCAAAGAACGTCTTGGAAAGTTCAATAGGATACTTGGGAATGATCACGTCCCAACAACTCTGGAGAATGTACACTCATTTTCAAACTAATTTGGTTTTTCGAGAGACTCACCTCGAACCCAGCTGAATCTCTCGTTTGTGATGTTCTCAGGCAACTGAATGTGCCGCACCAGGCCGCTTCATGTTTCGGTCGCTACAATATTCCAGATATCGCGATACGTGTATACATTTGTAATGTACTACTCATAAGGTTGCTGAAAATCCGTCGACAGTCCACGACCGGCTTTGCCCTTTTTGGGGCTCATCAGGTACGCGCGGTCCCCGGATTTCCGTCAACCTTATGTTCTACTTGAAACCAAATCCTGGAGAGTGCTTTTTTTACTTTCGTGTCTGATAGCGTGTATTCGATTAGTTCTAGTTGTCAGTACATAACTCCGTGCTGAGAGGCGTTTCTCCTGTCAGATGTAATCTTTTTTATACTATTAAGTTCATTATATTATCGTGTGTGGTTTATGATCTTGGTTTTTAAGCTTTGCCGTTATTTCAGTATCCAGCTGCCAAGCCATCCGCATGAAGCACGATAGCTTGGATACTGCCAGGTTAACAAAGCCTAGACCGGAGCAGTCGAGAAGCCGGGCTTGAATTCGAACCACGACCTTCCGGTCTGTACGTTTGTACCCTAACCACTGAGCTTTCTCGAGCTTGTATGTGGATTGTCATAGAAGACCGGATTATTGCGCCCTTTGTACTAAAAAACAACTTCAAGGGGAATGTGGTAATTGTCCTCAGGCACACGAATATCTGGCTCCTGAGCTTTCAGTTTTGTACCAAACAGATTAGCTCTAAATACGCGGGCAAGTGCAAAGCTGCAAGCGTGATTGTTAGTAATTTTCCTGCTTATACATCTCTCGAGAAAGTCTCCCCATGCTTCAATCCAGGTAGCATAAAGGTATCTTTTTTGAAGTGGACAATATTATTGTTATTTATAAGTGAGTAAACTTTCCGGAACACATGTTTAGGCGAGCACAGATAGTTTTGACAAGCCTAAGTCTGGATAAGTTAATTCTTTACATTTTCCAACAAAAATGTTCTGTAGATCGCGATGGCTCCCAATCAAGCTTCTCCCATTCTCGCTTTGTCTGACGTAAATGGTGGCGCATCACCTGCACCGCCTGCTCGACAAACTTATGCTCTCCTAGGTCTCGAATGGAGCATTTGGCGGGATGTTGAACTCGGTGGTGGCGCTGGCGCTTCAAAGAGTAAATCTAAGCCGATCGATACTAACGAACATCGAGGTCTGCTCTTTCCACTCGCTGCTTTTTCTCCACTAACATGGAAGCGACACCTTGGGGTCATATGGCGACATGGTTTATTCTGGATTACCTCGACCAATCCTACAAGCTCCCCAAATGAACGATTTCCTGTTGTGCAAATGGCCTCTGAAGGCCTTGTTTCCACCGCTCCAACTCCCAAGCGTCGTCTCCGGGTTAAGCAGGCCAAAATTGTATACACGCCTGCGTGTGAAGGATGTTCCAAGTGCTGGGATTCCAATATTCAGGTAAGTGTCAATCAGCCGAATACACCATTGTCCACCCATTTACTTCGCCACAACCAAGCCAAAACAGTCTTATCTATGCACTTATTAGTCGTCACTTAACTCTCTCCTAATAAGCTTCAAGGACATTGCGACAAAACGTGCAGCTTATTAATGTTCCAAATGTTTGACTTCAGTCAGCGATGTCGTAAATCATAAATGAAATCTGTATGTCCCAATAAGAGCTTTGTATGGGGGCACTTGTGAATCAATGTGATACACGCCCACTTCTATCTTCAAGCTGTCTTCGGAAAACCAAAGTTGAAGTTCTTATTTTATAGACGTGACACGATGTTTTTCGTTGCCAGATGGAATACAGCTGTTTCGTCGAATGATACCTTTTTTCGATAGGTGTTTTGTTTCGCCAGTTCGTTCGGACTAAATAAACACAGCATGCTCATGAAAGATCGTTCTGCCTTCGGTGAAAATACTTAGTTGCCCAATTGGTTGGTTGAACCAACAGCCTGAGTATGAATCTGCTCCGGTGGACTGGGCGGATTGATTGCTTTCGGAATCAGATTGTAACGCGCTTGCTCCCAAATTAAAAATCTCCTTTATTGTGCAAAAGCTAGGGAATCGTCCTTGAACTGCACGAGTTAATCGAAACCTGGCAAACCCTCATCCGTGGATGGGTTCATGACGCATCTCTCTTTGGTGTTAGAAGGATAAATCAAGTGGAAACGGTGGTGATCCCTCTCCTGCTAACCTCTTTAGAAATACTTTACTGCGTGCAACTTTTGTGTTACCACCATCATATATGCCGCCAAAGCACTGAAGCCTATTGCTTTGTTATGGTTTGTGGTTCTTTACGAGGGGAGTGGGGTTTGAAACCCAATGGGCAGAGGTCTGACGAACCCAAACTTCACCGTACTTCTGGTCCTGACGACTTTTCATCTATTTCATTTGAAGGTAGTCGGTACTTGTGTAACGTGCTTGAGGGAAGATCTCCGCGGGAGTCCGTAATGGTGTCGTTCTTTAAAAAAAGGTACTGGCTATAGTCACCGAGTGTCCATTTGGCTCCCTGCTCTGACAGGCCTTCATACCCCACCCATTCTTCGCTGTCGTAAGTGGCGCGCGAAACTTTGGCTCATGAGCAACAAGGGATTTTTCTTTAATAACATCGGCCGCATCTTCACACTCCGTCAGCTGTTAGGTCGGCGCCACATTTACAGACGATTTGGTTTTCCTGTTCTTTGACTTCAATGACGCTCGCAGCTGTCTATCTGCCAGTTCATGCAACCACACTTGCTTAGCAAAATATGACCGCGAATCTCTTTAGTACAAACCCATTTTTATATTCACCTACTTCTTGGCGCGTGAGATTGCTAAGGGGTTAAAGAATGATATCATGTTTGGTTAACCTTGGTGGTTCGTGATGCCTATGTTCTCAGGCTACGAGATCTTGATGTGAACCGCTTAGTTGCACAGTCATAATCAGCGCTGAGAATTGGATGGCTTTTGCACACCCATTTAGCCTACTGTTCGTTGACCATCGACTGAAGTTTCTGCCGTTTGGCCTTTCACTAGTGCCGATGACTGTTCGGCCGTGAAATTTGAGGCAGCTTTTTGTGTTAACGGTTGCCCACGAGAGCCACGTTGAATCGCCTTGACGGTGGTAGTTGGCGATGGATCGTGACGCGCAGATGCAGACGCGCACAAACTGTTGTGACTGCCAGTTGCTAATTCTCAATTAGACCGTCGTGATGAAACCCATCTCGATTGCATGAGAAAACGGTCCATTTGATATGTTGAGTATCACGTTATTGTCTCAGTGGACGCTGAAGACGGGCTTTGGCTTTAAGCAGTCCGTTGATGTACGTGAAACTCACGAGACCCTTGCCCTTGTTGCAACGGTGCCTTCGGCCGAATTTTCAGAGAATGCGGCTTCTAGATGAGCTAGTAGAGCCAACACAAGCGTTCTGACCCTCTGCTACAACGAGGATTTTCCTTAGGTTTATTCGACTGACAACACTTTGTGCATGTCCATAGAATTGGTATCCGGATTCGAATTCTGTTGACAGTGATATGGCAACGATATATCATAGCTGGGTCTGTTGGGTGGTTCTTGAAGCTGCTACCGATATTCTGGATGACTTAGGCGCCCATGCAAAACGTCAGACTTGATTGTTCGCTTGCGATAAAAACAAAACCATCGATATCAACGCTGTCACTTTTCCCACTGTAGTACAACCAATATTTGGCGTCTTGATGCCTCAAATTAGAACCAGGTAGTCGCGCCTCGGAATGACAGAAGGCGTCGATTCGGCAGTCACGTAGGTTGAAGATGGTAATATACTGGCTTCCAACGTCTACGAGTGCACGGGCGTTCCAACAATCGACGTAAGATTGCTTTCGGTTGTTGAGTCAGGACACCCTCCAGTTTCCCTGTATGCAGCCACAATGAGTGGGAGGGCATGCTGTGTGACATTTGTCTCCGGGACACCCAGTAGTGTCATCATCATCATATCATCATCGACAGCATGACATCAGTGTTCAACACCGATGCTTCACTGCCGTACAACCATGACTTATTTGAAAGCCTTATTGTAAAGAAAAGAATAAAGGTGGATGGGAGAGGGACATAGTGCTAGTTTAACACAATCATTCCGAGGTGCCTACACCTCCAGACATTCACTCAGGCAATCTGGA